GACATCAAGCCAAGTAGGGAACAGAGCCTGTTCTGGGCCCACACCCACCTCTGAAGTGCCTGATAGATCCACACTGAGACATCCAGGAAGGGGGCCAGAACCCACATCTTGGAGCGGCTGCCAGCTGGGCACACCCCACCACCACTCTCCATGCCTAGTGCATCATAGCCCCGCATCTCAAGGTCGGCTGGGTAATAGCCTGGATATTGAGTCTGCTTCCCACTCTTTGTCTGGAATAATGATTCTTGGCTCCCACAGCTGTCGCAGAGGCTTCAAGGCTCCAGCTCTATGGTCTGAACCGGCGGGATGCACTTCTCGAGCTTGGATTGTTGGCGGAGGGGCTGGAAGGGGGGCGGGGGTTATCTTCGTGAATCCCCGCCCCAGCACTGACTTACTTCCTATCACACGTGGGCATCGCCAAGTCCGGAAGAAAGATGGAGCTGAGTGACTGATCTTAAACCCCCAAGTTCTCCCAAGAGGCTTCCAGGAGTCGAGATCCTGTCCCTGACAGCTGAGACTGGAAGCAACATTCCCACCCCGAGTTTCTGCAGGGAGTCAAGATTAAATCCTCAAGTTGTAAACATGTCTGAGATTTGGGGTTGGTGTCTCCAGTTCGGAATATCCACCCCAGGCCTAGGACGGGTTGCAGCACCATCTGCAACCCCGAGCAAGTCCACAAGGTGTAATTGCATTCTCTAAGAGTCGGACCCTGTCCCTGGTGTGATTTTCATGCTGGTATTTAACATCCTGAAGGCTCTGGTATAATGTTAAGCCTCAGTTAATGTTAGGCGAGCAATGGGAACTAAGCCCACGCAGCATCAGGAAGAGCATCTCAGCCATGAGGTGACCACCCCACATAGGACATAGCAGGTAGAGGTGGGACTGAAACCGCCTTCTGTTTGGGGGTGGATGGTGCCTTTGTCTTCAGAGAACCAAGCCCCACAGAGCAGCTGCTTCTTGTTCTAGGGAGCTCCTTGTCTCACAGTAAAGGGTTTTTCTTTGTTTTGTTTTTCTGAGACAAGGTTGTAGATTGGCCCGGAACTCACGACCATCCTACTTCAAGTGTCTGAGCGCTGGGATTATACATATGACACACTAGACTTCTTAAAAGGAGTTCATGTACACTGAAGAAAGGTGCAGGCCAGGTTTTGTGGGCACAGACTCTAATCCTAGTATTTGGGAAGCAGAATCAAATGGATTTCTGTGAGTTCAAGGACAGCCAAGGCTACAGCGAGACCCTGTCTAAAATAAAATAAAAAACAAAGAACCGAATCCTCAAGGGAAGAAAGGGGGAGGGCAAGGGCAGAGTCATGGTGAGCACCCACTGAGCCCCTGCCTTTATTTGCCTAGTAGTAGAGTAGGTGCCGGGAATACCAACCGTGAGGCTGGCCCTGCCCTCCAGGCACCAAATGCTGCCCACTCTCTACACTTACTTTCTCAAGACCAGCTCGGCCACATCAAGTATAAAATAGATGTTCCCTCTCCCTTCCCTCCTTTTGTAGCATTATTATAGTTATCTATGGTGGGGTGACAAGGTCTCACTTTGTAGAATAGGCTGTTTGCAAACTCATAGGTTCACCTGCCTTTGTCTCCCAAGTGCTGGGGTGTGCTATTATGGCTACCACTTTTTGAGACAATATCTCACTCTGTCACCCAGCCTGGCCTGGAACTCCCTGAGTATCTCAGCCTGGCTTCAAAACTATCATCCTTCTGCCTCGACCACCAGGAGGTAGAATTCCGTGTATGGGCTGCTATGACCAGCTGGAGTCTCCTTCCTTCCTGACAGCCAGCTGCTTATATAACTGCCCAGCACTTCTGACCATGTCATGTCACATACGTGTCAAGCCCTGCGTCATGCAGGAGCTCGGTTATCAAGGAGAAAAGGAGGGGGGGAGACCCCTCTGCCCCACCCCCACTCTCAATTCACAGCCCAGGAGCTGCCCCGATGGGGGCCAATATGACCCCGTTTCTCTCTGAGAGGGCAGCATGTGGGCATGGAGGAGCCTCTGGGTCAGGCTGTGCCCTTCCCCTCCTCCTCCAGCCTGTGTCTCCTATTCACTTCAGTGTGTGTATGTGTGTGTGTGTGTGTGTGTGTGTGTGTGTGTGTGCGCAGAGAGGGATAAGACATTTCACATATACACTCCTCAGTCATTTTCTCTTCATTGTTTGGGGCAGAATGGGTCTCCAGCTGCAAGGGAGGGGGTGTCAAGAGGATGGAGAGGCTGGAAGAATTAGTGAGATTCTGAGAGCAGCCTTGGATGGTTTCTGGGGGCGAGGAGGTCGCCGGATCCAGACGTGACAGCCAGGAGGCGGAAGCCGGCGGCAGGGCGTGGAGTCCTGAGGAGGGCCTGGGAGGGCAGAGGTGGGATTGCGCCTGGAGACGTCACCCACCTAGACCTCATAAAAGGGGCTGTGACCAAGGATCAGAGAGAGTAAACCCAGGAGTCAGTGGCTTCTGTCGGTGTGTTCCAATACCCAAGCGGCTCTCCTCCCTCCAGCCCTCCAGCCAGAACCCAGCCAAGGTAGGTACACTGCTGACAGCGCTTGGGACTGCCCCGAGTCAGGGAAGATCTGGGAGAGCAGACTTCAGTCCAAGGCCAACTGAAACATCAAGTAAGCCAAAAGCAAGGAGCACTGATCACTTCTGATTGCCAGGCTGGCCTGATTATCCTGGAGTGTGTATGTGTGTGCACGTGTGTTCTTTTTGATTTTCAAACAATTAAGTTCTACTTACATGCACCACATGGCCTGTAGACTAAGCAGGTAAGAGTTATCAGGGTCTGGGGTGTCTGTATGTGTGCATGTGTGTGACATGTGTATGGTGAATGTGGGAGACATGTGGTATGTATTCGGAGTATGTGTGCTGTGCCTTATTCTACTTATTTACTTATTATTTATTTTTGCTGTGTGTGTGTGTGTGAGCATAGCGCACATATGGAAGTCAAGATGACAGCTTATGGGACTTGTTTTTCTCCTCTCGTCCTGTGGGCCCAAGGGATCAAACTCAGATCGTCAAGCTTGACAGCAAGCACATTGATCTGCTGAGCCATCTCACCAGCCCGTGTTGTATGTGGTGCGTTTGTGTGTGCTTTATGTGTGGTATGTGTGTCCATGTGGGGTGACGGTGTGTTGGGGGCAGGCAGAGTTCTACACATGAGACGTGCTGTCCCTGCATCCTCAGCATCCCAGCACCTAGCACAGTCCTAGTCTGGAGACAGTTGCCAGCAGTGGCTTACACTGGCCCTGATAACCAAGGCTCTGCCTAGTGGATTTGGTTTCTACCCCACATTCTATTCAGGCCTTAAGGCAGCTGCAGCATGTATCTGGCTTTCAGGGTGTCACAGAGTCAATAGCTATCTGAGCATGCAGCTGGTGCCCAGGTATCAATGGTACTCGGAGATGGGCGTGGCCTATCATGATTCATGGGATGAGGGAAAAGCTGGAGCATTTCGGAGTCAGGATTTTTTTATTTTTTTAACTTGGGGTAAAACTCATGGAACTCATCACTATCATTGGCTAAACAAAAGCAAACAGAATAGATGACAGGTAGAGAAGGGGAAGGAGACACGAGGTTAATAATACAAAGGCCCTGAAGTAGAAACCAGGGTACCGCAAGAGCCGCACACTGCTCATGACTGCAATCGCGAGAAAGCTGGCGTAAGATGGTAGAGAACCTGGTTCTGCTCAGCCCATGGATGCTTAGATACATGACCAGTTGCAAACTTTTTAAAGAGCAGTGTGAAATCTCTGAAAGAAACTATGTACACGGATTCTGTGGAAACAAACCTCAAACATGTGAAAATGGTGTTGTCTTTATGGTCATTCACTCCATACTCGTTTTTTGCCTTGTAAAGATTAGAATCATTGCCGGTTGTGGTGGCACACACCAGCAGGATTTGCTGAAGGAGGCAGAGGCGGGAGGATCACGAGTTAGAGGCCAGCCTGGGCTATACACACACACACACACACACACACACACACACACACAAGAAAGATTAGAATCATTACGATGCTTCCATGTTTCCTTACTTTAAAAGGAGCTACAGGAAGCTGTGGGAAGCTGAGGGCTGGAGGGTTCTTACCCACCACTGCATATGTGAGTCTGCAGTTGGCTGGGTAGAGGGACCAAGGAGGGGCACAGTAGCAGGATGCATGGTGCTGAGAAACTACTCCGAAAATGGGTCACAATGATACTCCCCATCCCTGTCCTTGGACAGAAGCCTAGGTTCAACCTGTTGTGCCGTCAGCCTCCCGGGCACTTTGTCCTTAATCCCATTTGTTGGACAGTGTCAAAGTGCTTGATGACTTTTTCAAAGAAAGATTGGCCTTGGGAGTTGGAGAAGTGGGGCGGAGTGGGAAGCAGGAGAGGAGGAAGGCGGAGTGGCTGGATGAGGGTCAGGCTACACAGCTCCTATCTCAGCAGTCAAACTGATGAGGCCAATTGAGTTGACAACCTCCCAGAGCCCCTGAGAATAGAAGCATCTGATGGGCTAGGTGAGAGAAAGGCTTTTCCTGTCTTGAATTACAGGCAATAAGACAATTTGATGATGGTCTCCAAGACTGCGGAGAGCTTTGAGAATGTGTAAGATGATTACTCTCTTTCTTCCTTTTTTTCCTGGAAGAGATAAAGAATTGGATTTCTATTCTAGCAGGAGGGCTAAGGCCAGATTGCGGCAGGTGTGTGCTACCCCGGGGAGTGAGCACCAAAAGTTGCGCTTTTACACGGAACCCAGCACTAAGGGGAGGAGGGCTTGATCCCAGGACCCCAGGAGAATAGCTGAACCTCAGAGCACGCACTATGTGACCTCATCTACCTCCATTCCCTGATCAACCCCATGGGCACACTCCTGCGTGACCTCATCTACCTCCCCTCCCTGATCACCTCCCCTCCCTGGCCGCCCCCATGCACAGCACACTCCTGGGAGACCTCATCTACCTCCTTTTCCCTGATCAGCCCCATGCTCGGCACCTTACTCTCCTTCTTCCACATCTCTCTCCAGCAAATCCATGACCCACAATCTCACCAGCGTGATCAGCTTATCCCTTCCACCAAGTCTGACCCTTCCTTTTTGTCCATCCTTCCCCGCTCCTTCAGTCCCGTTCCCTGTGGCCTCGTTTCACGCTTATCCCTCCACAGGTCGTGTCTGGTCACAGGGCTTTCTCCTCTCCCCCAGTTTCTCTCTTCGACCTGGGTTCTGGTACAGTGCTAACTCTGACCCAGACTTTTTGCCTCTCTCTGTCTCACTCAGCCTCTGAGCACATCGTGGACCTGCCTCTTCCTGACAGAATGACTGCACTGGCTTCTTGGCAGCTACTGCTTCTCCTCTGCATCACCACCTTTGGGGAGCCACTGGCAAAGGTGGCACCTCTGGCAAACCCTGGGCCCACAGGTACGAACGGTCCAGGAGAGTCACTGAACATGAGAATTACCATCTTTTTCATACTGTAGCCAGGCTACTGCCATGAGTTTAATTAGTGCACTTGGCGGATACCTGGGGCTGGCCCAGGACCAGCCTGCTGGGAGTACAGGAGGCTCACCTAGGTCTATTAACCCAGCCCCTTGGTGATGGCTCCTGCTGTGCTCTCTACTCTATACCAAGTGCTTCTCTGGATGGATGCCCGAAAGGAGCTGACTGTGTACGCCACTTTTATCTGTGACCTCAGATCCCTTAAGGGGGTTTGAAAAACAAACAAAAGTGGAAAACAAAAACCTCAACACACAGACCTTCATGTCTATCAACCTTTCGAGCTCACTGGGGGAACTGAGGAGCTGAGGAAACTAACGTCCAAAGAGGCAAAGTGTTCCCCAAAGGTATTCAGTCAAATCCTGATGAACCCCAGCAGGTGCTGGGTACCCCAAGAACATAGCTGCTCCCCAAAGGTATTCAGTCAAATCCTGATGGGCCCTAGCAGGTGTGGGGGTACCCCAAGAGCATGGCTGCTCCCTGAAGTTATTCAGTCAAATCTTGATGAATCCCAGCAGGTGACAGGGTACCCCAAGAGCATATCTTCTCCCCAAAGTTACTCAGTAAAATCCTGATGAATCTCAGCAAGTGCCGGGGTACCCCAAGAGCATATCTTCTCCCCAAAGTTATTCAGTCAAATCCTGATGAACCCCAGCAGGTGCCAGGGTGCCCCAAGAGCATGGCTGCTCCCTGAAGTTATTCAGTCAAATCCTGATGAACCCCAGCAGGTGCCAGGGTGCCCCAAGAGCATGGCTGCTCCCTGAAGTTATTCAGTCAAATCCTGATGAACCCCAGCAGGTGCCGGGGCGCCCCAAGAGCATGGCTGCTGAGTCAGGGGTCTGAATTCTCCTGGGTCGTCTGCTCTCTGTATGTACTAGAGCTTGATCAACCTCTCTGGACCTCAGATCTTAGGCGTGGAACGCAGGACACCCCTGTGAATCTGACATCACTGTGCATAACCACAGCGAAGGGAACAGGGTCCCAGACACTTCACCAATGGTGTCATCATTCCAGGGGAAGAAATAACCCCACCGCTTACAGGGACACTGGCTATTGGCTCTGTCTGGCCACACAGTATATCCTGTTGTGGAAATGAGATCTTCTCTCCCACACCAGTTACCCAGAGAAGGTAGGAAAGGCCTCCTAGATGGTTATTATTAATCTTGGACCATAGCCACACTCGTCTCCAAAGTGTGCCAGGGCTTTGAGGAGCCAAGCTCAATGCCACCCTCGGCCCCAACACCCACTCACATCAGGCCTCCTTGCTACTAACTCGCTATAATTGACTAGACTCACTGTGTACTCTGAGCTACTTGCCCTGTTTTATTGCCAAAGAAAGAGAGGGAGGGAGGGATGAAGGGAGGGAGGGAGAGGGGGATTAATGAGCCTTGCCTGTGAAGTGTTTTCGGAGTGAGCCCTGTTAGCCTCCAGCAGGAAGGGAAGGCATTGCACCTGCCCGGGGAAGTTGTGCCTGTTAAGGCCACATGTGTAACATCTGGTCTTCACTCAGTCTTGATCCTGTTTATCAAAGTTTGCAATTGTCCTCAGCAGGCAGATCACAGGTCACAGGTGTGAGGAGGGGGTGGTCACAATGACCTTGGCTCCACCTTTTTGATTTCCGTTACCCCAGGTTTTTCCGTTAGCTTTTATTTAATGAGTACTTGTTGAGGCCCTACTACGTGCATGGTACTGTTTCACCCGTTCTGAGAGATAAATGGAGTCCCCTCCCTTGCCCACACCCCTTATGGGCGGCTCAAACTCCAGATGCAAACACTCACTGAGGGACCAGGCAGAGAGCCCAGAAGAGGATGGAACAGAGTGTTTGCTTCCTCAAAGGAGGTCGTTTAATAAAGTTATTTAGGAGAATTTTGGCAAGCACTTGAAAGCAAAGCTATCGAAGGAGGGAGGAGCATGCAGCCTAACCACCCTAACCAAGCAGCACTTTGGCTCCACGCTGAGGTCAGAGCTAAGCTTCTGAGGTTGAGGACTGGGGCCAGCTTCGAGAGGTCTGAGCGAGCCCTGCCGCCCCAGTCTCATTTGCCTTTGCTCTCTGTTTTAGGCCAGCAGTCCGGATCCCAGGAACTCATCAATGTCTGGGAAAAGGGCCCGCGGTGCGCAGAAGGGAAATCTGAGGTTGCAGGGCTGCGAGCCCGTAGGACCTCGCCATGCCCACCGGTTGAGAGCTCCGCGGGGCGCCAGCGACCCGCTTGCGCCGCTCGCAGTCGCCTGATTCCGACACCCCGCGGAGCAGTGCTGGTGCAGCGCGAGAAGGACCTGTCAGCCTACAACTGGAACTCCTTTGGCCTGCGCTATGGCAGGAGGCAGGCGGCCGGGGCGGCGCGGGCAGCAGCACGGGGCTGAGTGCAGGGCGGCGTGTGAATTGTCAACCCAGTCTGCCAGCATGCAGGGCTGGGGCAGGGGGCTTCTGGACTGGGGCAATAAAGCAATACTGCTGTCTCACTGCGTGTGATTCCTCCCTGACATCTACGAGCAGTGCACATGGGACAACAGGTTCTCTTCTCTCTCGGTTGCCTCTTAGCTGATTTCAAGATGTCTCTAGTGCCAATGACAGTGCTTTTGAAACTAATGGTTAAGGAAGGCCCTTACTGTTTCCCAGTCTGTTGCAGCTCAATGCTTTGAAAATATAAAATAAAAATTAAGGGGCTGGAGAAATGACTGGGCTGTTGTTAAGAGCACTTAGAATTCGTGTTTGGCTCCCAACGCTCAGTGGATACAGCTACTTGCAACTCCAGCTTCAAGGGATTCAAAGTCTTCCTCTGGCCTCTTGGGCATCTACCCTCACACGCACATACCCCAAGACAGGCAGACAGACACAGACAGGCATGCATACACTAATTAAAAATAAAATAGACCTTTACATTAAAAAATAAATTGCTGAGAAATTTAAACCTAAAGAGGTCGCCAATTGGATGCCATCTGACAGCAAGATAAATGTTGATCTTTTTAAAAGTATGTATCTATTAGAATGGAGGTTTTTGTTTGTTTGTTTGTTGTGAGATGGTTTCACGATGTAGCTCTAGCTTGCCTGGAACTCACTAGCTAGACCAGGCTGACTTGCAGAGATCTACCTGTCTTCACCTCTCAATGCTGGGATTAAAGGTGTGCCACCATTCCCAAGCCCAAGATCAAGTTTCTCTAAAATGTTCTGAAGCGGGCCTTCTAGTTCTGAGACGTCTCTTCTTTCCTAATGGAAGTTTTGCTGCACACATTGAATGGCGGCAGAGTGGGGCTCAGACCATTAAGTTCCTTCTCTTCAATTGCCTCGTATCAGTCAGCTGGGCAGAATGATCTGGAAGACAGTGCCGATCACTGCCCTGTGTGCAGAGAATTAACTATCACCTGAGCCAACACCAGGCTTCGGGAGGGCTGCCTGGCCCCTGGGCATGGAGGTGCAAGGGACATCCCCAGCATCCATCTCTCCCACGGAAGCTCTTGGCGTGGGCCCACAGCCGTGTCTTCTGGTCTTCCCAGTAGTCTGCTGAGGACCTGGATGGACAATGACCCATGAAGTACAGCCTGTGACAGTGAGCCTAATGGTTCTCAGCCCTCGTCACAGCTGCACCTTCGAGACTCTTTAAGATGACAGCGTTCCCATCTCAGTCAATTCCTGGGAACCCAATAGCTGGGAAGTAGAAATTTGGGTAGAAAAAGGTAGAGCTTGTCATTAGGAAACCCCAGGAAACCTATCCTCCTGCCCATGAGATGCCTCAGTCTAAGCTGAGAGCCTTGGGGTTCCCTAGTCCTGGGAATTATAGGGTCTCCTTACCCCCACACTGTGAAGCGCCACAGAGTTTGGTCCATCACAGAAACCAGGACTACACAGGATGGAGGCAGAACTATGTTGCTATGGCAACACAAAAAGGCTGTCATGGGAACATGACAACTCGCCCCCATCCCCATCTTTATCCTTGAAATTGCCCTCCAGCATCCGCTGTGAGCTCGTGTTGAAGCATGTTGTGTCAGCAGGGTGACACTGTTGATACCGGAAAGGGCACCCCAATAGCACAGATGTGGTGTCAGCAGGGTGATGCTGCTGATATTGGAACGGGCACCCCAATAGCACGAATGTGGTGTCAGCAGGGTGACACTGTTGATACTGGAAAGGGCACCCCAATAGCACAGATGTGGTGTCAGCAGGGTGACACTGTTGATACTGGAAAGGGCACCCCAATAGCACGGATGTGGTGTCAGCAGGGTGATGCTGCTGATATTGGAACGAGCACCCCAATAGCATGTGTGCTGCTGTAGCTTGTGGGAAGAAATAAATTCAGCACCTATTCCCACGAGTGTTGTTTTTCTTAGACCAGCTCTTTTTTCTGGCGGAGCGACGGGCCTCTGAACTCCGCTCTCAGCCCAGTTGTTATAAACTCCTGTGGCTCCCTCTGCCCATCCCTTTGTTGTTGAGGCAGAAGGATTGCCACTTTCGAGTCAGGACTGTTCTCTGCTATGAGAAGCAGGCCTTTCTGTGGAGGGCCGGACCACATTCTCCATTGCTTCTAGGAACAAAGGTAGAGATTGACCTCTGTGACCTCAAGGTGTGGCGGTACACGCCTTTAGTCCTGATGCCAGGGCGGCAGAGGCAGATTGACCTCTGTGACCTCAAGGCGTGGTAGTGTACGCCTTTGGTCCCAATGCCTGGGAGGCAGAGACAGGCAGATCTCTGTGAGTTCAAGGTGATGTAGCACACGCCTTTAATCCCAGCGCAGGTGCTTGGTAACTCTCTACTGCTGCGTCCCTGCCTACTCCCGAGGCATCATCTGGGATAATGGGCAGCGGACCAATCCAAGAGTGACACGTCAGAAGCGAGGACTGTTTCCTTTATAAGGGCTGGGTTCCCCTCATTCTGGGTCTCCGCCATGTAAGCTTATGCTCTCCCTCTCAAGACGCATAAAGCTTTACTGCAGAAGAATCCTAAGTGTCCCGCGTCGTTCTTGCGGGCGAGGCCGAGCGCAGGGCACCTTTCTGTGTGATACTGGAGGAGATACGAGAAACTACATGCAGGTACATGTGTGTGTACCTGGGTGAGCCGGGTATGGGGCAGGCCCCCGACCACATTCCCCGCCTCGCCAGCCCTCAGTACAACCAAGCGCCTCTGCTGAAGATGACCCAGAGGTTACTGCAGCAGATAGTACAGCGGAGTTGGTTCTATGTCGCATGCCTCTTGACTCTAAACTGCCACCTGCAAGACTCTGGGTTTCCCAGTTCTCGGCCCCATGTCTTTAGAAAAGCTGGGGTCTCTATGGGACACGAGATCTTTGTCTTCATGTGACCCCAATTTAACTTTCAACCTGCTCTCCAGGTTGGAGGAAGGGCAAGGGAGAAAGGAAACTGTGAACGGATATTCTATTACACAGCCCCAAAGTTCCCAGAACCCTCTCCAGAGCTCATAGACTGGAAGGCAGAGATGCGTAGGGGGCTCTCACATGCCCACAAAGTTCCCAGGACCCTCTTCAGAGCTCATAGACTCGAAGGCAGAGATGCGTAGGGGCTCTCAAACCCAAAGTTCCCAGGAGTAAGGCATCTAGAAGGCACGGGCATCCTTCACTGCGGGAATGAGTCTGCCCCAGGCTCCACCCCTCTTGAGTAGCCTCCCATCCCTGAAGAAAGAAATACAGCGGCCAGGGTTAGGAGGGGAAGAGGGAGATTTTGGCTTCTTCTAACTACTACTCTTAGTATGTTCACAAGCAACGTTGAGAACCTACAGTTGATCAAGCAAAGGTTACCTCATTTCATCTTCACAGTGGCCTACGAGATGGGAAGTATAGACTCCATTGGTAGAGAAGAAAACAGGCTCAGAGAGGTAGGTGAAATGGGCCCACATGAGGTTCCTGAAAAGACACAGTCAAGAGGAAGGTACATTCCCACACGCCCACTTTCTGTCTGCAGTCAAGGTCATCTTCCTGCAGTCCGTCCTGAAATGGCACCCCCACCCAACTCCTGTTTGTCCAGGGATTTGCCGTAGGCTGCAGATCCAGGAGCCGGAGTGACACCACCGATAAGGTTCCTGGTCCCCAGAGCAGGAGAGCCTCAGACTCTTTTGCCTCTGCCTCCTTTCTCTGTCAACAACTTGCCTGAGACCAGGAGTGGTCACCAGAAGACTAAGGGCATCAAGTCTGAAGAGCCAGTCTGCTGGTCCTGAAGTGATTCTGCTTCCCTCTTTTCTCTCAAAGGCAGCAGAGCCCAACATGGTTCCTGGCTTGGGTCAAAGGGGGTGCCTAGGGTAGCGCTGGCTTCTCTCGTGGGAGGGGAGCAGGACACGGCAAGGAGCCATACGGTCATTACCTCGGGTTATGCCTTCTTCTGATGTCCCTAATATCAGCCTGATGTAGTCTGCTGCTACCCCTTTAGCACGTTACATCACAGGAAGTAAAAAGTGCCACCCTTGCGTCATTTGTGCTGACCTGACCATGGTTCAGGTCAGGCCTCACATTTTAGTCTCTCAATAGTCAACAGAGGAGGAGGGATGGGTCAGACCCTTGCGATAGCCACTTCACTTCACTTGTGCAGTGTTACCGTCGACAAGGATGACCTCAGGGAGCAAGGGTTCATTTTGGCTCACGGTTTGAGATGAGACAGTCCTCGAAGGTGGGATGGCAAAGACATGAAGCTGCTGTCACATGGGCTCACTTCCTTCTTTTTATTTAGTCTTGGACCCAGGGAAGGGGACCACCCACATTCACGGTAAGCCTTCACTTCTCATTTAAAACTCTGTGGAAACATCCTCATAGACACACAGAGGCACGTTTCCATGGAGATCCTAAATCTGGTCACGGCAACGACAACAATTAATCACCATGACTCCCAAGGACAGAGAAAAGGTTTAATAAGGGAATAAATAGATAAATACAATTAAAACATAACAAAATAAAACCAGAGCTGGCTAGATGCTTCGGTGGGCAAAGGCTCTTGCCGCCAAATCTAATGACCTGAGTTCTAACGCTGGGACCTACATGGTAGAAGGAGAAAACGGACTCCCACAAGCTGACCTCTGACTTCCACAGGTAAGCATGTCATGCTGGCACCCAATACCCCCCCCCCACACACACATACACACATAAGTAATACAGGTAATTACCACATATTTTACAAAGAGGAGAAACAACGTTAAGATTTTGTGGATGGAAACTCCATGGGGTGGGGGTGGCAGAGCAAAGGAAGTTACAGCTACACAGTCAAGAAGAGCTCCTGGCTCAAAGCCCGTACCCAGGCTGTGCCTCTAGATGGCAAGTGTCAGGTGCGGATAAAGCGTGGCCTGCAAACAGGAGGCCAACTGACAGTTCTGTATACAGCCGTTGGACTTCCTTAGTATGGTACCCTCCCCGTCATCCCCAGCCAACAGGCCCAGCCTTTCCTGCTAGCTTAGTATCCTACACGGAAGAGGCAGTATCCTCCCCTGAAGACGACATCAG